AGAGGCATAGAAAAGGTAGATAGCCAACAGCTTTTCCCCATGGTAGTGGAGCCTAAAACTAGAAGGCATAGGTTTAAAATGAGAAGGTTCATCTGGGAATGGCCCAGTAGGGCAATTTTTTCACAGAGAGTGGTGAGTGTCTGGAATGGGCTGCCAGATGCAGTGGTGAAAGTGAGTATAATTTCGTCATTTAAGAAACATTTAAGACAGATACATGGATGGGAATAGGTATGGAGGAATATGGAACCAAATGTCAGCAAATGTCATGAGTTGAATCGTGAAAACTGAGCTACATGAGCAGGTTGGGCCAAAGGGCCTGTTTCCATTTTGGAGACCTCTGTGACTCTATGACTCTACTTGTCTAATTGAAATTCAGTTACCATAATTCTCTGAATAAAGGGACAGCATTCTGCTGCAAGACTACAGGGCTTTACCTGGCCTTTCCAAAGAGAAGTGAGATATAGCAAACTATTCAGCATGAGTTCCTACATTGTCTTATGTTCAACAGACCAATGAGCCAACTAGTTTGTTCAAATTGACTAAATGCAACAATTCTTAAAATAAATAATTATAATATTCAATGATTTAGATGAAGTTGACATCAGGATGTACAACTTTTGGGTTGAGTGACTGTGTTCAGTTGTGTGTATATGTACACATGTGCACCTGTGTGAATGTACATGTGAGTTTGTGTACATATGTGAGCCTGTCTATATATACATTTGCCTCTGTGCATATATGTACATGTCTGCACCTGCATCTGTGTGTGTATGTATATATCTGTGTGTTTGCATGTGTGTATCCGTGTGTGTGCATGTGTATGTCTATGCATACATGTGTGCCTGTGTACATATGTATGTGCACACATGTATGTACGTGTGTATCCATATGTGTGTGCGTATGATATGCACGTGTGTATGTGTAATTCAGTTTGTAAGAACTTTATTGGCATGCAGTTTCAGTTCTACTGGGGCCACTGAGCTCCTGCCTCATCACAGTCTTTGTTCATTTATGGACAAAAGAGTTGAACTCCAGAGGTGAGGTGAGAGTGACTGCCTTTGACAATAAGGCCACAATTGACTGAGAGTGGCATCAGGGAACCCCAGCAAATGAGAATCAGGAGCAAACTCTCTGCTGATTGGACTCATACCAAATACATTGGAAAATGGTTGTGGTTGTTCGAAGTCATCTCAGCTCCAGGACATCTCTGCAGAAGTTTCCCAAGTTGGTGACCTAGATCAAAACATCTTTAGCTGCTTCACTAATGATCTTGCGTCCATCATAAGTTCAGTAATAAGGGTGTTCATCAATGGTTGCACAACATTTCTTGCCATTCATGACTCCTCAGATATTGAAGTAGTTTGCATTCAAATGCAGCAAGACTTGGACAACATCTAGGTTTGAGCTGACAAGTGGCAAGTAATGTTCACACTACACAAGTGCCAAGCAATGACAGTCTCCAAAAGGAGAGACTCGAACCAATGCCCTTAACATTCAATGGTATTAGCATCACTGAACTCCCACTATCAACATCCTAGGGTTTACCATTGATAAGAAGTTGAACTGAATGAGCCATATAAATACATTGGCTTCAAGAGCAGGTCAGAGGCTAGGATTCCTCCAAAAGTAACTCACCACCTGACTTCCCAAAGCCTGTCCGCCACAAGTCAGGAGTGTGATGGAATACTCACCACTTACCTAGATAAGTACAGCTCTAACAACACTCAGGAAGCTTGGCACCATCCAGGACAAAACAGCCCATTTGATTGGCACCACATCCACAAATATTCATTCCCTCCACCATTGATGTCCAGTCGCAGCAGTTTGTACCATCTACAAGATACAATGCAGAAATTCACAAGGGTGTTTAGACAGCACCTTCCAAACTGATGACCATTTCCACCTGGAAGGACAAAGTCAGCAGATAAAGGAAACATCACCAACTGCAAATTCCCCTCTAAGTCACACACCATCCTGACTTGAAAATACACCTATGTTCTTCAGTGTCACTAGATAAGAATCCTTGAACTCCTTCCCTAACGGCATTGTTGGTCTATTTACATCACTTGGGCTGCAGCTGAGAAATTCAGCTCACAACCATCTTTTTATTGTCAATTAGATGTGAGCAGTATATTGCTGTCCCAACCTTTGAAGCCCATATCCTCTGAATGTTTAGAATAATTTTTCAACTTTCTCATCTCTGGGCCTTAATAATTCATGCAAATCAAATAATAATTTCATCTTAGAGAAGCCAATCATTTGTAAAATGAAAACCAAAGGGTATACAAAGGAAATGATGAAGCCTCAAGAATTAAAGTGTAAAAGCTTACAATTGACAGACTGAGACATTTTTTTTACCAAGACATAAAAGGTACAGATTTTGAATGAACCTGTGTATGTGTGATTGTAACCGTAATTACCTGCCTTCATGTTATCAGAACGTACAATAGTGAGGAAAAAGAATTTTATGTTATATATCTAACTACTGTGACTTTCTCTTTGTAAAACATAGAGTTTTGCTCATTGTAAGTGTCAGCAGTATTCCTTGGAAAACTTCCTGAATATAATTGGTTGTAATAAAGACTGATCACAGAAAACATTCCTGAGTATAATTGGTTGTGTGACACCAATGCACTTATCCAAAGACTCTTGGGCAGTTACTTAGCTTGATCTGAGTGCCTCCTCAGAGCATTAGTATGTTGACTTGTCACCGATGTTACATTCAAGAAAACTGCTCCTATTATTTCTTGAAATGAGTTCTCTTTAAATTGAATTATATTTGATATTTATAGTGCTGCATCCAAGGTTTATAGCTTTTAAGAACAATAAATTAGAGTTGACATCAAGTACGATTTTGTCATTTTCTGAAGAAGGGTCCCAACCCGAAACATCAACTTTCCTGCTCCTCTGATGCTGCCTGGTCTGCTGTGTTCCTCCAGCTCCACACTGTTATCTCTAACTCCAACATCTGCAGTTCTTACTATCTCTTATTCAAGCTATTGCTCCTTTAAGTCACTTTCCCACTAAGAAATCTATGAAATCCAGCACTTGGTGATTATAAAACCTGACAGTCAAAGCAGTGGAGAGTGGTGACTTTTGTTCTGGCAGAGCAGCAATGGGACTCCTGTTTTAGCCACTCAAGACCCATGGCAGAGCACTTAACAAGAAGGATTCTAAAGATTGCTTTATTTTACTGCCTTTATATTCTATGTTTTGGTTTATTTTTCTGTGTTTTAAGATGGCGCTGGAGAGTGGCAACACTAAATAATACTTTTCACTGTATTTTGTAACAAAATACATGTGACTAAATAAAGCAAATAAATCAAAATCAAATAAATATGGCATTTTCCACAATTGAAGGCAAATACTGCACAGCACTTGCCTTTCACATGTCTTGTACAATTAACAGAAATTATGAACAGCTTTGCTTCAGGCCAGAATAACTGAATAACTAGTAACATGCTTTGAGTTCCGTCTAATTACAGTTTAACAATTACTATCAAACATGATCAGTTTAGTAAAGTTTCATAATGACTGTGAAGCAATACACCGTTTATATCAATAACCCTCTCAATAAGAAATGGCCTCTGTGAGTGAAAACTCTCCTTTTAATATTTTTCAATATTTTCCTCGTATTTTGTGAAAACATAAATGTGTAATAATGATAGATAACTAGAAACCATTAGGATTGTTTTCTGTTCCACTTCAGTGATTGCACAAGATAGGAACATGTTCTTGACTGCTGACTAATTTGAGGAAGGTCATGGCAGTACAGTTTGTCACTGGCATGCATTTTCCACTTTTAAAATCTGTTAGTGACAGGTTTACTGTTTGGTGAGTTAGAATGCCCAGACGATCAGATGTTCAAAGATGAAGAACAGCATTCCAGACTCCTTTCAGTGACACATTGAAGTAAAACTTTCCACAGACCTCCAGTTTTATTAATTGGCTCATTAATTAGACAGACAGAACCAGCCTGGAACAAGTGCAAGCTGTAATGTAATGGGAATAAGATATTGATGTCTCTCCCTGTGTTACAAGTTTTACCACAGGTTCTTTTTACAAAGAATGCAAAGAGGGTAGAAAAATTCTGGAGTGGCTGAGGCTGAGTGGAGACTTGATAGAAGTTTATAAAATTATGAGATGCATAAATAGGGTCGACAGTCAGAATCTTTTTCCCAGAGTTAAAATGTCTAAAGCTAGGGGGCACACATTTAATCTGAGAGGGGCAAAGTTCAAAGGAGATGTGAGGGGCAAGTTTTTTTACACAAAGTGGTAGGAGTCTCGAATGCACTGCCAGGGGTGGTGGTGGAGACAGATACAATATGGGCGTTTAAAAGACTTCCAGATAGGCACGTGGATATACAATGAATAGAGGGATATGGATCAAGGACAGGCAGAAGGGATTTGTTTAATTTGGCTTCATGTTCGGCGCAACATTGTGGGCTGAAGGGCCTGTTCCTGTGCTCAACAGTTTTATGTTCTATGTTCTAATACAATCCGCACTATTACAGTAAATGTTGACTTACAATTTCCATTGAATGTTGACAAAGTTTGCTTGAGATGAATGATTATTTCCTTGAACTTTATAAGTTCTAGCTATTAAGTTTAAACCTCGTCAATAGAATGAGACTAGGGTATTGTCAGATGTCCATATTATGGCCTCCTTTGAAAACTTTCCCACTCCAGAAAACCTGGAGAAATAAGGTTAAATATGCAATTTATTCCAAGCACCTTGTCTAGCAATATTGTTATAGCCTTTTTATTACTTTCATTCAGCAGCATAATTCAGTTTTTTTTTGTCTAAGCAGGTTAGATTTACAATAAAACAATGCAAACATTTCTCAGTCTTGTAGATGGCAATACATAATACATAAAAATGGCAGTCACCTTTATTACATCCATCGTAACATTATTGCTATCATTCCTGTTTACATTTTCCCTAACATATTGGATGAAATTGTTTATTAAGATGCCATGTTGTCTCATGCAATCTTCAGGTTGCTGATGTTAAGGAGAAACTGAAGTTGGCTAAGAAGTTCTGGTCCACATTACCTTACACCATCTGTAATGAAGATAAAGTGACTGCTGGTGTACCTGATGAAGAGGACTGCTGGAATGGACATACCAAGGGCAGGTGAAGTATACTACAGAGTAGACATTCCCATTACATTCATATCAGCAACCTGCAACTGACACACAGTTACTACTCATTCATAAAGCAGCTGGTCAGACTGGGTGGTGGCAGCTGTTGCTTGCGTGACGACAGTACTGGGAGTTGTCAAGTGTACAGTCTCATAACAATAAATCTTCAATGAACCAATTAGTTGCTGTTGAAAAATTCTTGGTTTGGAAGATGATAATCTTTCAGAAAGAATAAGAATAGTGTGGCAGTGAGTCAGATTGAGGTGCAATTTATCATTGTGTTTAATAAAGCAAGCATTTTAACATTGCTTGACCAACCTTACACGGGTGGCAATGATGGGTTTTGCTACAAAATCAAATGCAGTAACTATTTGAGCCCCTTTATTGTAAATCACAGTCCCTAATGTAAATGATGTGGTAAGTCGGTTTCCATGAAAGATTTTGCTAATATTATCCCTTTCCAATCAATAGAGCCATCAATGTCCCATCAACACAACTAGATTCCCTTAAGATCAATAATACGAGTTACCACTGCTTGTCTTCTATCCGTTATGAATCCTTTACCTATCTAACTTTCACCTTCGCTTATGTGTGGAACTAACTATCTTATTGGTCTTTCAGTTCACAGCTTTGAAAGTACCTATTGAATAAAATTTAAGGTAGAATTATTCTCTAACTTAAAGAAAAATGTAACTCTTAAGGATGGAAGACTGAAAAGAAAGCTTCCATATTGACTCATTAAGTAAAATGTGTTACACAGTGGTACTGAACCAGTTTTGATTTCTGGTCTGTGCTGATTTTGCTGATCTTGATGGGCATGGTCGTGTTAGTGCCACATTTGATGTCAACTCTTTTGGGAGAGGATCACATTAGCCAAGGTCTGAGAAGTGATTATTATGTGTAAGCCAGTGGAAACAGAGTTTGGTCATGAACTGTAAACCCTAAGTCAAAAAGCCAACTGATAGACCAGAGTTTGAATTAAAATATAATCACACACCTTTAGAGGGCTTGTAACAAATCCCTCTATTCCTCATAGCCCAACCATAAAAACAATCCCAGTTTACACAATACCTTCAGGAGAGAAAGAAGGCAAGAGGACAGCATTGGAGGAAAAAGAATAGTTGACATCTATGGTCATCAATATTTAAATTCCTCTCATTTGGAATGAGAAAGATAGCAAAAACCTGTCACTCCCTGGATCCTGGATCCTGCTCTTTGATTATACATTTTCAATTTGAAACTTTAGATAGTTTCAAGTTCTGATTTCCAAACATTTCTAATGTGACAAGAGCGTTTTTGTGATCAAACGAGGGAGTTTCAAGCTGCAGTTTCCATTTTCTTAATGGCTACGTGCTGGGATTGTTCAAGTCTTAATTTTATCTTCCTTCATGGGGATGCTTTCTTTCTTTCACAATCGCAGGTTTTGTTAAAGAATAAAAGGTCAATGAAACTTGTAGAAATGCCCACTTTCAATAGATGCTATTTGCGAAAGCCTAAGGGCTCGGAATTTTTCTGTAAGGTAGTTGGCCTGAAAGAGTTAACTCAGAAATTTTGGAATAGCTCTGTCCACTGATGTGTTAATGACTGTCTCTGAGATGAATTAGTTTGTTCTATGTTTGTCAGTTCTATTAATGTAGACCCGGTTGCTATTTCTTAGAAGATAACAATGTCTCTTACCAAATATTATTATACTTAACTAGTCTTAAGCCCATGTAACCTCTCTCCTACTAGTAGTTTTTTAATTCACTCATGAGTCTTGAGAATCCTGGCTAGCTAATTCAGTTTCTGCTCAATGGTAACCCTCAGGATGGTAATAGTGGGGGGCTCAGTAGTGGTAATACCATTGAGTGTCAAAGACCAATGGTTAGATTTTGCTAAAATGAAATAGCATTTGTGTGGTGCAAATGCTACTTGCCACCTTTCAGTCCAAACTTGGATATTGTCCAGGCCTACTGCATTTGAACATGGACTGCTTCAGTAAATGAGGAGTCACAAATGGTGCAGAATATTGTGCAATAATTGGCGACTATCCCTGCTGCTGACTTTATAATGGAGGATTAATCCTTCACCACTTAATACTAGTAAGCTCCTGAAATAATATAAGGAGGGTTACTGGCAGAAAAGTGACACAGGACTGAGATGGGCATTCGTCTTGTGACAAAAGTGCATATCAGAATTCTCCAGAAAGGCAAGCCTTGATATCAGTCAGTCAGTGTATTACACTAGCAGTTTGGAACTGACTACTCCAGTTAAATGCTTGGCAACCCAAAGCAACCATCCCATAGATATTTAAAGGAATGATGCGTTTCATTGAGGTTAGTTGCTGATCGATTTCTACTGGAATTTTCTGCAATGATTCAAAATTAGAAATCTCGTTACGCTTTTTTTGATATAAGGTAATAATCCAAGCATGTGTACTTGGCCTTCCTCATTGCTGTATAGTCCTTTGTTTGATGTTATCATCATTTGACCTGCAGGTACTTGCCTGAAATTATGAATGATGGTCTGACCAATCAGAACAACAACCCAGAAGTAGATGTGGACATCACGAGACCAGATACAATGATACGTCAGCAGATCATGGCACTCAGAGTGATGACCAATAAACTGAAGAATGCTTATAATGGAAATGATGTAAACTTCCAAGATTCAAGTAAGTGACTGGTTCTCATAATTTTCAATCACAGATAGCTGTAGGAGGGTAGAAGGAGGTAAACCCATTTTTTACTGGCAAGTGTGTGTTTACTCATTTAGACCTAAGAAATATCCTATACACTTGTTGCATGAGTACAGCTGAAGTCCATTCTGCTCAATTTTACCCAGATCCTATAGTCCAGTGCAGATCTGTACAAAATGATTAGTAAATCTAGTGTGATCCATTCAGTCACCAGTTTTTAAAGTAGCCACAGCTTTACTCAACAAGGAACTGCATCAAATTAGGAGGGACTGAAAGAGGAAAAGGAAAGTGTAGAAAATCTAGACCACACTGGGGAAGGCAAGAAAGTGAGATGGTGGAAGACGAGAAATGAGGAAACAAATTGCTGGATGAATGGTGGAGCAATGTGCCATGACAGACAAGGGAATAGTGGAGAAGAACAGAGAAACAGAACGGGAGTAAATGACTGCTTGCTTGTTCCCTCCTGACTCTTGAAACCACACTTTTGAGATATCACTTTCCAGCAGTTTGATATAACTGAATGGCTTGCTTGGCCAATTCAGATGACAGCTAAGAGGCAAGCAGATTGCTATGAGGTTCGAGTCATGCATAGGCCAAACCAAGTAAGGATGGTCGATCTTCTTTTGTGAACTAGAAGTTTTTTTTTATATGGCAATCAATAGTTGTTACATCAGGCTAAATATTTAATTCCAGATTTTTACTGAATTCAAATTTCACCCCTCAGCCATGGTATGATTCGAACACATGTCCCCAGAAATTAGTCTGGAATCTGGATTTCTAGTCCAGTGATATTGACACTTTGCCAACACCTCAATTGTAGTTAACAGGTTGTTCTACTGTACCCATATGTCTCGTGCATTCACTGTTTTTATCATGGGAGCTTATTTCTGTGTTTTACTGTAGATTGTAGGACTAAACATGTATTATGTAGTGTCTCCAAACGACAGAAAAACATGCCAAATCGTGTCAAAAAACCAGAATCCAATGAGGGGGCTGGAGGAGTAGTGGTGGGCTCCAGGGTGGTTTCCTTAAACACCCAGAAAGGCAATCTTGACTATGATGTACAAAACCGCACTTTGAATATTGCCGCTGAAAGGTTACACACTGGCACTGGCATTACAGGTTCAAATATGGGCTGACCACGATTGTCCAGTTATTAATTATTATTGACACCTGAATTTCTATTGGTAAGGACCCCAATGACAGGGCAGACTGACTAAACGACCTTTCATTGGAATTTAGCAAGTGCATTAGTGGGGAAATTGTTTCTTCATATTTTGATAATAATGACCATGTTGAACTGTCTATAGTTGAGATTGAAGAATTCAAGCTGATTTGTCTCAGTCTGAATTGTGTTAAGTTTTTTGTAGGGTTTGTCACTGCAAGACTTAGCCTTGGATGTAGACATGGGGGAGGTATGCCCATTGACTATGCCCCACGATTGTTCCAACATAGAGGTTGAAGCAAACAGCAAGCTGAGCCCAGCAGGTGCTCACTCTGGTTTCTTTGTTGAGATTTCTAACTGTCGTGCTTGTTTGGTAAGATGGGAGGCTAAATATTAATCAGTTGAGTTGGACTGTTAGCAAGGCATTCAGCAATCAATTACAACCATCAATTGGCAATTCATCGCTGCCTAGTAGGAATCTCACCACACTGCTTATGAAAAGCATAAAAGATGGAGTGAGTTGCTCCCAAAGTCAAGACTAGCCATGCTGGACTGCTCATCTGATTCTGCCAGAAATCCTATCATAGCAGGTCCCTATATTTCAGTCTTTCAGTTTGAAGTATTGAAATGAGGCTCAATGAAATAATTAATTGCTTCCATAAGGAATAGGTCTTCTGAAAATGATTAAAACACATTGCATTTAAATATCAAGACCGCATTCAAGACCAGTGTTTCAGATTAGTTTCATATTCTTTTAACAATCATCTTTTTGGCAGAGAGCATTATCTTTTGATTAAAATGTAGGTTCCTAGAACAAGGCCTATAGTAAGTTGAATGTATAATGATTTATCAATCATGAAAATGGAGTATTCCAGTGTGTTTTGTAGTGAAATGGATTGTCAGTGACAACTGAAGCATTTGGCTTCCCGTGCACTTTAATAGGTTCCACTTGCCTATGTTATCTGAATGTATTTGGGATTATTGGTTCTATCTGTAACATCACCATCGAGGCATGTGCTGGTTCCTCAAGCTATGGCAGAATAACTGCTTGCATTCTTATAAGAACTGTTCATTGTGCCTTACTAAGAAGAAATACAGAAAATTGATCCTGTACCAAAGATGGGATTTGGAGATATGCCAGTTGCGTGGTTAATGGGTGGGTTTGAAGGAGAGAAGTGGGAGAGGGCCAGGAAGTGGAGAGACAGAAGAGTTTGCAGGGGCATCGCAGTGAAGGAGACAGGTGAATACATAACTGCAATCATAGAGCAAAGGCACAGAGAGATGCAGTGAGAGTCTCGAATATTGGAATGGAGAGTTCTGGAGGTGTTGAAATTCAGGGGAGGACTCAAACATAGGAAAAAGTAAGATTGTAAGACTCATGGCTCTGTGGGACTGAATAGAGTTATTTTCTTTCATTGTCCCTTATTGTCAGGGATCCAGATTTTGGTCTTGATCTCAGTCACTCTCACTGTCATTGCTGGCATGGCAATTTACTCTGGTGCCTTTTCTAGGAGCAGGCATTGCTGAAGTTGCTTTTAGGAGACAGGGAAAATGCCCAGTGGAATTTTAAGGCTGTGCTGCTGTATAGGAAATCTCTCTGATGAAGTCATCAATTTCTGTTTCTCTTTTCAGTTGATGAAACTAGTGGTTCTGGGAGTGGGAGCGGTTGCACGGATGAAATGTGTTCTCCAGAGTCTGATATTTCAATAACTGAGGCTCCACCAGGACCCAACAAGAGTGAACCAAAAGATTCTTCTGTCAGACCCTGCCTGCACTGGCTGGTCATACTTGTCACCTCTGTACTCCTGATACTGCAAAGACAGTGGAGATAATCAGTGATGTACAACAGAGACACTGCTTTTTAATCAAGGACAAACTCTCTTTTCCTTTTGGATACATCTTCAAACACACAATTCCATCTTGGAAACAGTAACAGTTTTAAAGCAGAAGAGGTATTGAAGCCTATTGCCTTTACCCAAAGACCATTCAGGTACAGTAAATCAGTGCCAGGCTTCTTTAGATTCACCAGACATCAGAAGAAAAGAAAAGTTCTCTGATGATCTTTCACCTGCCGTTGGCTTTGTTTTCAGAAACAAGACAACATCCTCTCTGCTTATTTTATGCAGCTAAAACAAGAAAAAACAGGATTTGTTAAAGACGTGGGCTGGACTTGTTATGATTTATACATAATTCTGATTTTAATATCTAAGTTCTACTTCTACAGTTTCCACAAAGCAAAAGAAATCGCTGCAAACCATTTTGGATTAAAGGAATTGTTTATGTTGTTTCTCTTTACAGAGATTTCTACATTAATGGTGAAGTTCAGTAATGCATGAATGTTGTTGGTCTAGTGGTGCAGTTCTCCTCAACCAGCCAACTATTTTGTTGGATTGTCAATTAGGAAATAGGAAATTTGCAAGTTTATTGACAAGATTTATAATTGGCTTTTTCTTTGTCATCAGTGAACAATTTGCAGTGTTACAAATATGTTTGCATTTACCCCTAATGATCTTCCATTTGCCTATTGCTCCCTGTATTTTTAATAGGTTCTTTAACAACAAATAGTCCTACTGTTGCCAGTCATTTAAGAAATTCGAAAAAAACAGAATTCTAGTTATATTTTCAACTTTTTGTTCTAGTGGCAATCATCTATTTTTATATTAAAAGTTTTAACTAATTCTAAGTGTTAGCTCAGGGTTTAAATTTCATGGCATTGCCTGCATTTTACCATATCTCTAATGCTCACCACAATAGTGGCTCGGGAACATTTATACTGAAAAAAGGACAAGCTATACTGTTGCAGAAACACCATTTGGCAATATATTTTATGATTGGTTTGTGTCGTCACCATTCATCAGAAGAAAGTATCTGACGTTTGTATGAGTTTGCCTTTGCTGTTCTGTGACATGGGTAAATCTGTAGTAAATGATTGTGGTTCACTTACACGCACTATCTCTCTGATGTGGTCTGGGTGAAATTTTCAGTCACAGCATGTTTCTATTAAGGGGAAAATTAGAATCCATGTCTTTTAAATCCTTCAAACACATAATGTAGCTTTCAAAAGGTGCGTCTGATATAAAGCTGAACAACAAAGCTTAGAACCATGTGATAACATGCTGAACCAAAGAACAACTCTAATGTGTCAGGTGTCAGCTTTCTGAGCATAACCATATCTTACCTAAACCAAAAAGATTCTCATTGCAAACTAAGGCCTATTTAATACAAATGAGCATTATTTTTTGTGATGAAATATCATTATTGTGCTTCTTCATGCTGGACAGAACTGAAAGTCATTCTCTAAGTACAATTTTGAACACCTTTGTGGAAGCTCAAACATTGTGTCATGGAATCATAGAATGGTGCAGTGCAGTCTTTGATAAAGAATCTAGTTAGTCCCACTTCCCTACTCTTTCCCCATAGCCCTGGAAATCATTCATTATTGAGGACATATACAAATCCCCTTTGAAAGTTACTATTAAAACCGCTTTTATCATTCTTGCAAACAACATATTCTAGATTATAACAATTCATTGTATAAGAACACTTGTCATCTCCCCTGGATTTTTTTTCTACTAACTACCTTAAAACCTTGCACCCTCTGGTTATCAACACTTCAGACAATAGAAAACAGTTTTTCCCTCTCCACTGTCATCAGAACCCCTCATAACTTTGAACACCTCTATTTTCTTTCTCTCAGGCTATTTTTCTGCATTGGCTGTAGGGCTAATAATCTCATGATTGCGAATACTACTTTTGTTCAAGATGCATTTAATGATCATGTTAGCCCAAGTCCAGAGATACTGTGAAGTGTATTTGAGTTAGAATAGGACTAACATAATATTAGAAACAATGTCACCAAATGTGAATAAGGCCAAGAGCATAATTGATGCAATAATCAATTCCTTGTCATGCCGAATGACGAAAAGAAACTGTATCAATATAATACTCGTGAAATTGAAAAAGAGAAAGCAGTAATTTGTTTTATTTGTCTTATTTGTCTAATTCAATGAGAAAGGTATTTTGCATCCTGTGTTGCATTTGACTTAGGTGTTAATGGAAATTCCTTAAGGAAATTGCACTCCAATCTTGACAGCTATTTAGCCAGTAGCATTATTGTTTCTACATGGGATAGGAGTGTCACTGATAAGCTAACATTTATTGTCCATCCCAGAACCATGAGCAGGTGATGACTAGCCACCACCCTGAATCACTGAAGTCCGTGTGGCGTAACTGCACTAAGAGTCCTGTCAGGATCGTTTTGGAGCATTTGGATTAATATTTGGAACCTCCATTATTATTTTTTCCCATAAAGGTGACTGTAAAATGTAACTTGAATTGACATTCTGTGAGAGAGCTTAGCAAACTTCACCCATGCAACTGAACTTTGTAAAAAGTATTTTCTGCTCATTCATTTATATATAGATTAGACTATTAAACAAAGAATTAGTGCCCCATTAATTAATATCTTGAATAAGGTGAATGAATTCAAAATAAGAACAAATTATGAAAGAGATAGTAAGAGCACGTTTGGTGAATTATGTTTATTTTCTCTGCTGTTATGGCTCAGAAAGGTAATTAGCCTAAAATGTATTATGTAGGTTGTAAGGTCAGACTGATATCTGGAGTTTTGAAAGAGGGCAATACTTTGCAGCACCTTTCCCCAAGAGATTAAATAGTTAAATATAATCTCTGATGTAGTGAATTGTGACATTATCATGCAAGAAATAGAACAAATAGCTAACTGATAATTATTGAGCTGCTCGCAGTTCAGGTTCTTGTATTTCTCATGAGACCCACTGGAATATTTATCATCAAAATCTCCCTGTGAATTTACATTTTCAAAAAATGCTTCTTCAATTTCAGTACCAAATATACAGAAACTATTTTCTAAATGAACTAAATGGTCACTTGCATGCAGGAGGACTGTTGCCTTCACTGCTGCTAAAGGAAACATCATTAGTAACGAAGCACCATTGGATAAATTAATTAAAAAGTAAACCAACCCTCTAGATCTATATCTGAGGATTTTAAACAAAGTGGCTACAGAGATGTCGAGAGCCACAGTTGTGATTTTCTTGAATTGTCTCAAGTTTAGAATGGTCCTCATAAAGTGTGAATCAAGAATGAAGAGAGAAAGAAAACACAGGGAGCAATAGGTCAATTAATCTGACATCTGCCATAGGGAAATTGATACCACCAGGAGAGGTAATAATAGCTGTTGAATATATGAAAAGTAAATCATGTTTGTAACATGCAGGGTATGAAAGAGGGAACCAGTAGAGGTTGTGCATATGGATGTTCAAAAAGCAGGAAGTTTGGGATTGCATGTAATATATTGGAATGGATCGAAGATTTAGGCAAAAACAGATGGTAGGAGTAAATGGAGCATTTTCATGTTGGCAGGCTATAATGAAAGGAATACTGTAAGGTTCAGTACTTAGGTCTTAGCTATTTATAATCTATATGAATAACTGACAATACTATAATTAGGTGAGAAAGAAAACTTTGAAGATGACATGAAGATGACATAAAGCATTATGAACAGAAGAAGTGAATGGAAAAGAATATGACAGGTAGAATTATAAAATAAAGAAATGTGAACATGTCCACTTTAGTCAGAAAATTATTTTTTTTTTAAATGGCTACGACTGAGAAATGTTGTTCTTAGAGGGATTTGGGAATCCTTTCATATGAGTCACAAAAGTTAACATCTTATGCAGCAAGCAATTAGAAAACAAATGGAGTAGTAGTCTTCATTACAAGATAAGCAACATTTAAGTAAGATCGCACCTGCAATTCCAGATACAGTACATTTGCCTTAGAATGGATGCAAAGAAGGTTTGTTAGACTGGCTCCTATGATTGGGAGATTGTTGTCTGACAAGGTACTAAGTAAACTAAGTCTTGTTTGAGCTTTGAAGAATGAGAGGTGATCTCAGATCATAAATTTCAAAGGGGCTTGACCAGATAGGTTCTGGGAGGATGTTTCCATTGACTGCGGATTTTAGTCTCAGGACAAGCGGGTGACCATTTTGGACTGTGCAAAGGAGAGATTTATGGGTATCAAAGAAAACGGGGCTAGTGTTGAAGGTGGAGTTGAATTGAAAGATCAACCATGATCATATTGATTGGTAAAGTAGGCTTGGAAGACCAAAGAGCTAATTCTGTTCCAGTTCCTTATTTTCTGCTGTGACCACACATGATAAATGCTGAGGTACTCTCACATCATCATCTCATTAACATATGTCTGCTTATATATTTTAAGGATAAGAAATTGTATCTATGAATTTACATGTATCAACACAAAAGAGGTTTTCTGTGATTTTTAGCAAGATCAGATGATTTTGCAACAGAAAACAAATGGATGAAATCCTTTTCTAAAGTGATAGATTGTGCTCTTCAATACCTAATTTAGAGCTCATTTATGTCCCCATATAAGGGAAAGCTGGGATTCTTTTAATCAGACATGTGGAATGAGTTCATGTTTATATTAATTGCAGTAGGTTCAAGTGAAAGCAAAGTAGCTACTAATAAGTTATTCTGCTTTTTTACCTAAATGTTTACAACATTTAAAACCTAATGGGAGAGACACATGAAGGAAAAATTGTCTTGAAGGGAGCAGAGACATAGGTGGAACTGTAGTATTATTACTGTATAAGTTATTACTTAAGTTACAGCCAGTTCAAGTTTCCAGTACCAACACTAACAATTCATTGTTCATTACTTATGTTCCTTGAGGTATACTAAAACATTATGTTGTGAAGAATATGGTGCAGTGCATCAAAACCACGTAGCGACAGCAAAATTATGATTTTCTTCATCCCCGGAACAAAGTAACAGAATATGATTGTTCCCAGCAGGGTCACAGGTTGATTGAACTCATGAAAGCTGTACTATTCCATTGAATCTATAATGTTTTCTGCAAGAACAAAAATCAGTTTTGAGGCACCAACGCCTTTGATGCTTTATGCTGCAGTGTTTCAGACTCTGTATATGGTGGAAAATGTGTAAAACTTTACACTCTATGCAGGTACAGTTTTGAGATCATGACATTTTTAATCATTTCGCACATTTTATTGAGAAAGTTGACTTGAGTAGAAAGCTCACGTTAATATTTTCATTAGTATTTCTTTTAACTCATAAAGTTCTGCCATAAA